GTACAGACGCCTCCCCATGGCTTGGGCGTCGTTGCTCGCCGCGCCCCAAAGGACCTCGTGGGCGCCGCTGGCCGAGTTGCCGAAAAATGGAGGTATAAGGTTGAAGGGGTGCCCAAGCCAGAGCTCGCGCAGTCGGAGTGATCGAGCAGACTGACGTCACCTCCACTCGCCTGGACGACCCCCTGGGCTTCGCCTTTCAATATTCGGGGATGTCGGTATCGAGGAGGATGAGGGGTTCGACTCGAGGGGCCCATCGGTGCTCGACCTTCGGCCGCCCGTCGACTTCGAGGAGGTCCCAGCGCACTTCACTCGGGAGGGGTCCCGGGGCTCGATCGCAGCCGTGCGCGTCGACGGTCAGGCCAACATCCTGGCCCTGGAGGGGGAGGCGCTCGTTCTCGGATATCGTCATCTGTCGAGATCTACTTCGGCATTCGGTTCCCGTTTCCTCCATTTCACGGACAACATGCCCCTGGTGTTAGCCGTCGGGAAAGGTCGGGCTCGCAGCAGTCACCTCCAGAGCTCCCTTCGCAGGATCTGCGCGCTCTCCGTCGCCGCCAGTTCGGCCCCATCATTCAGGCGGGTCCCATCGTAGGCAAAATTGGCCGACGGCCACGGCCGCGGGCGGGCAGGATGGTTCTCTGGCCCCCTCCCGGCGCCAGTGCCCTTCGGCGAGGCGCTGCTTGGCCACGCAGCGGCTCTGGCTGCTGGGGCCCCTCTCCCAGGCCACCGCGGCCTCGAGGAGGCGGGCGGCGCCGGCCGCGACGGCGTTGAAGGGCGCGAGAGCCCGCCATGCCCAGGAGGTCGCAGCTGCGGTGCCACCAGTCCTGGGGCTCTCTGTGCTGGAGCGGCTCGCGGCGCGGCCATCGACCGAGAAGCTCTACCGTGGGGCGACGCAGGCCTTCGTGAGCTTACGCGCGCGTCACCGCCTGGACTGGGCGGACCATGCCAGCTTCGACTCGATTCTCGCACAGCACATGGACAGCGAGTTTTTCCTCGGCGGCGGCGGGAACCTCGGGAACGTGCTCCTGACGGCGGTCGCCCACTTCCTGGGCTCGCTGCGCAAGCGGGCCGCGACGCTGCTGCCGAGGGCCCATCGCGCGGCGGCGGCCTGGGCCCTGAGGGCTCCGAGCCGCGCGCGCCTCCTGCTGCCGAGGCGGGTCGCGTTCGCCATCGCGGGCATTCTGCTCCGCGACGGGCACCGCCGGCTCGCCATCTGCATCCTCGTCATGTTCGCCTGCTACCTCAGGCCGGGCGAGGCGGCGAAGCTGCGCGGGCGCCACTCGGCGCCTCCCGTCGCCGCCGCGGGGGCGCCTTACCAGCTCCACGGCCTGATCCTGCACGAGAGCGGCCAGAGGCCTGGGAAGACGGGCGTGGACGACGAGAGCGTCCTCTTCGATCGGGAACCCTCGCTCGTTCCCCTGCTGGTGGCCCTCGAGACCGCCACGCTCCCCAGCGAGCCGCTGCGGGGAGAGTCGATCTCGTTGCTGCCGCAGCTCTTTCTCCAGGCCTGCCGCGAGCTGTCTTTGGAGCGCCTCCGCCCGCATCTCTACAGCCCGCGGCGCGGCGGGGCCTCGGACGACATGCCGTCGCAGAGGAGAGCGCTCCCAGGGATCCAGCGTCGCGGTCGATGGTGGTCTGTCAAGAGTCCCAATCGCTACCAAGGAGACAATGCTGCTGGACGAGCTCGTCTGGATCCCACCAGTCGCCATGGAGCTCGGCGCGTTCGTCGCGGCCCACCTGGTCGAACTCAGCGAGGGCTCCCTCCCTGCGCTACTGACGACTGGCCGCGTGCCAGCCGCGGTCGCCGCCCTGTTCAGGGCGCCAGCCTACGCCCCCCGTCGGGTGCGCACACGCCCCGCGGCGGCGCTGCGACGGCCTCAAGCAACCCTGATGCCATCCGACAGCACCTGCGGAGACAGCACCAGCGGGCGGCTGCTCCTGGGCGCCGGCTTCGCTGGAGCCCCGCGCTCGAGCTGTTCTGCGGCGCTGGCGCGATCGCCCGCGCGACGCACGCACAGGGCTTCGCTGGCTTCGGGCTCGACTGGAGCCGCGGCCCGCTGGAGGACCACACCACGGCGGCATTGCAGCCCATCGCCCTCGGCTGGGTCGCCTCTCGGGCGGTGGGCGCTATCTGGCTCGGCACGCCATGCACGTGCTGGACGCGAGCGCTCAGACGACCGCTCCGCTCCGCACTCCACCCTATGGGCCTTCCAGATGTGAGCTTCCGTGAACCGGCCAGACTTGATGCCAGCAGTGCCACCAACAGATTCACAGTCATATTGATCCGTGATTGCGTGGCCGCCCGTATCACCGAATTTCTTGAGAATTCTCAGACCTCGTTGCCGTGGTCTGGCCCTGCGCTAGCTCGTCTCTGCAAGTCGCCCCTCTGCCGCAAGTCTGTGCTGCATCAGTTCCAGTACGGCACGCCCTACAGAAAGGCTGCCATTGTCTGTTCCTGGGGCGCAGCCGCTACGCTGCCGCTCGAGAAAACTTGCTCGGGGCGCCGAGGTTGTTGTAGCAGATCTGGCAACCAGCATCTCATTCTTGAAGGGGGCGACGAGAAGGGTCAGAAGCGGACCGCCGTCGCCGCTCAGCACCCCCCCTCGCCTCGCCGCCGCCGCTGTTGCGTGCATTGTCCAGTCTCTGCCCCTCCAGCCTTCTCGGGCCCTCCAGACACTCGTTCTGGGGATGTCATAATGCGGCCTTCGGCCAAAGGTACTTTCGGGGTCGGGTAGGGGACGTCTCAGGACCGCCACTGCTGCCGCAGAGGCCCGCATCCGTTATCTCATCCGCCTGGCCTTCCCTGTCCCAAAACAATTGGCCAGGACGACGTCGCGAGCTGTGTGTATATATATATATATATATATAAAGAATGTGTGTGTGTGTGTTTGTTGTTTTGCTTGTGCTTTTTCATTGGATATATATAACGAAAAAGTTGATGTTTAGCATGGTTGGCGATACGGACGCACTCGGATGCCAGCTGATCTCTCTCAGAGCACATGCCATCCGACGCTTTTGTGCTCAAAGTTCTCCCGATGCCATCCCAAAGCCTACTCGGCACGAGCTGTCTGAGGGTAGGAGGCGGCTCAGGACCGCCCCTGCTGCCGCAGTGGCCACCGTCCGTTATATCATACGTCTGGCCCTCCCTGTTCCAAAACAGTTGGCCAGGGCGACGTCGCGAGTTATATATATATATGTGTATATATACACACACTGTTTGCGTCGGCGGCTAGGCAGGGGTCGTCTGCGCTGGCGGAAGGAGCTAACTAAACAGGGACACCGCTGTAGCGAATTTGGGTAAAGCATAAAAGCACGCACACATTGTTTAGCGGTCGCAGCTTCGCGTGCAGCGACGAGGCCGAGAGAGTCCCAAGCGGGAAGAGTGCGCGCGGAAGGCCCTCAAAAGAAGGGCGCACACACACACACACACACACACACACACACACACACACACACACACACACACACACACACACACACACACACACACACGCGCGCGCGCGCGCGCACAATCACACACACACACACACTCTCCAGGTGATTTTTGGGGCGGCGCGGGCCCGCCGAGCAGGCCTACCAAGGAGACGGGACTGGAGAAGCAGGCAGCAAGAGGCAGTAAACACAAAAACATTAAAACATGACAGCAATCCCGCAGCAAACTTCACAGCCTTGCGCCCTGCGGGAGGGCCGGCAGATTCCACCAGGGCTGCATATCAAGGTCTTTTTCCTCTCTTACTCTTCCCTCCTCTTCCTCGTCCTCCTCCTCCTCTCCTTCCTCTTCCTTTTACCATTACTCCTCGTCATGGTTCCTAGTTGTACACGCAATGCGACAATGGCGTTTCGCGCCATGCATCTTGGTCATTCAAGTTCTGCACAGGCGTCGTACACATGTACATATATATATATATATACACAAGACTGCAGTGGCGCTTCGCGCCGTGCACCGTGGTCCTTGAAGCTTGGTATGCAGGCGGAATGGCAGGAAGGCCAAACCGACAATTGTGCGATAATTCCTTGTTGTTTTTTCTGGCATCGCTGTTATAACAATGTTATTCGTTATCCTTCCTCCATGCTTCTTTTTGTCGTCATGGCCATATCCTGCGCATTCTCCCCATTATCCTCACTCGTTTTGCGGAGATCCTCCTTGGAGAGCCTCTGGGGGCCTCACAAAAGTTGTTATGGTTTTCTCAAGGCCTTCTGGAGGCATCCTGGGCGTGTTCTGGGGGCCTTTGGGGGCTTCCTCGGGCCACCTTGCCTACAAGCGCGGTCTTCCCGAACGACTAAATCACGATTTGGAATGTTTCGGAGGATGTCTTGGGGCCACCTTGGGCCGCCATGGGGCTCTCTTAGGGCCACCTTGGACCCCTGTTGTGTCGTTTCGGGGTTCTCTTGGACTGCCTGGAAGCCCTTTCGGATGGTTGTTGGGCGATTTTGTGGCCTCCCAGGCGGCTTCGGACGCCCAGAAGACCACCGTCTTGGAGTTTCGGGAAGCCGAAAGAGGAGAACCCCAAAATTCACCAAAAACTAATAGAACATCAATAATTGTTGGGGCCTTCTTGGGAGTGCTCTTGGAGGCCTCTTGGGACGTTTTGGAGCGATCCTTGGGGGGGGGTCGTCGTGGACCGTATTGGGCCTCTCTGGGGTCGTTTCGGGAACGCGCTGGAACGCCTGGAACCCGTCTGGGGCCGTCTTCGGGCTCTCGTGAGGTTCTCCCTGGTCGTCTGAAGGGTTGCCCTGAGGCCCGGGGAGGGCCAAATTCGTGTGGGGGGGGGGGCTTTTTCCGGCGTCCCAGGCCCTATAAAAAAACATATGAATGGGAATACTGGCAGAGGGAGGAAGAGAGAGAGAGAGAGACATACAGAGATCTAACAAGAGTAATATTGACAAAACACACGGGCTATCTATACACAGCGATGCATGTGTATATATAGCGCTAGCGCGAGAGAGAGAGAGAGAGCGCGCGAGAGAGCAATATAATGTAGATCGTCTACACTCCCCCTTGGGCCTTTTGGGAGCCTCTGGGGACTTTGTGGGGCCATATTGCTATCGACCGTGGCTTCCCTCAACGACTGGGTCGCGACGTCTTGGGGCGACCTTTGGCCGCATTGGTGCTTTCTTGGCGCCGTCTTGTGGTTCTCAGGCGAGGTGGCTTGTCCTGCAAAGTAAGCTCCCGTGCCGTTCGCCAGATAACAAGAATCGGGTCCGCGCCTGGGAGAGCGAAATGTCCCCTCACCTACGCCGCGCACAGGTTTTTTATTGAACATTGCGTTTCCACCGGGGCGAGGCGCATATTTGTTTTCGATCGCGAATATGTTCGAAGACGTCTACGGCGAATCACCGCCGCCTCCTGGCTGGCTTCTGGCAGCGTGTCTGTGCTCAAGCGTTGGGCAAAAGCTTGGCCACGATGTTGGATGATGTGTTCCCCCTGCCGTCGTGGAAACCCTCAGGTGAGCAATTAGGGGAGAAAGACGGGGAGGAGGAGGAGGAGGAGGAGGAGGAGGAGGAGGAGGCGGGGAGGAGGAGGAGGAGGAGGAGGTAGCAGGGATGAGGATGAGGAGGAGGAGGAGGAGGAGGAGGAGGAGGTAGCGGGGATGAGGAGGAGGAGGAGAAGGGAGGGAGGGAGGGAGGGAGGGAATGAGGGAGGAGAAGGAGAAGGAGGCCGAGGAGGAGAGGAGGCCCCTTGGGGCCCTCCAGGGGGCCTCTTGGGCGGCCTTAGGCCTCCCTTGGCCCGTCGGACGCCTTCGGAGGCCAGCTCGGGGGCATCCATGGACTGTCTCGGTGGCCTCTTTGAGCGCTGTAAGGCAATGAATGTTCCTCCTCCTCCTCCTCCTCCTCCTCCTCCTCCTCCTCGCGAGGGCCTCTTCTGAAGGTCCGGGCGGTCTCGGAGGCTTTCTGTGAGTGGAAGGCACGAAATGTCGGTTCGCATTCCACCTCTTGGAGCCACATCGGTGGCCTCTTTGGCATCTCTTGTAGGCTTTGAAGCCGTATTGGGGTGATCTGAATACCAAAAAGTCGAGAGTGCTAAGATCATTGGAACGCTTCTAGGGTGCTGCAATGGTTCCGGTCTCTTGTGGTGGCTCCCAGAGCCTCTAAGGCAGCCCACGAGGTCTCCAGGAAGAGGGGGAGGAGGAGGAGGAGGAGGAGGAGGAGGAGGAGGAGGAGGAGGAGGAGGAGGAGGAGGCTGGGAGGGCCCTGGGAGCAGACTGGATCTTGCAGAGGGATCATACTGGGCCGTGATGAAAGTTCGTGGATCTTGCAGAGGGTCGGTCGATGCGCGTCCGGCGGGCGAGCGCAGGTGGTGCGTCGTCCCGTTAGGGGCAAGGAGCCTGTCACAAGGTGAACGGGGGGCGACGGGGAGGAGGAGGAGGAGGAGGAGGAGGAGGAGGAGGAGGAGGAGGAGGAGGAGGAGGAGGAGAGAGGGAGGAGGAGGAGGAGAGGAGGGAGGAGGGGGAGGAGAGGAGGAGGAGGAGGAAGGAGGAGGAGGAGGAGGAGGAGGGAAGGAGGGAGGGGGGGGAAGGAGGGAGGAGAAGGAGAAGGAGGCCGAGGAGGAGAGGAGGCCCCTTGGGGGGGGGGGGAGGCCAGTCCCAGGGTTGGAGCCAGGTTTGGACCCTTGATGCAATTCGTATGAGGCTAAATGGGATGGCGGTGCCAAAGCGCAGAACCGCGCAGGACTTCCTCGCCAACATGGCCTTCTGGACGGTTCCGAAGCGGTTCCAAACAGTAGAACTCGATTCCAAGCAATGGGAAAAGCGAGCGTTCCGCTTGGGGCTTCCCCGAAAACAGGATTTGGAACCTGGTTCCAAACAATGGGATGGCGGTGCCAAATCGCAGAACCGCGTAAGACTTCCTCGCCAAAATGACCTCCTTGACGGTTCCAAAGCGGGCTCAAACAGTAGAAGTCGGTTCCAAGCTGTTGGAAAAACGAGAGCGTCGCTTGGGACTTGCGGCCGGGCGCTCACAGTCACAGTGGTGCCCAGGCGTTGTTGGACTCAGGTAGTATTGGTTCTATGTTGGTGCAGCCACTGCCACAGCACAACGAAAGTGAAGGAAACGCCAACTGATACCACAACGGCCTTTCTACACATCATAGTCGTCAGCGCCGTGACGGCAAAAAGCTTTAATCACGCCCATGGGCAAAATCCATCGGCAAAATCTAGGCAAAATCCATTCGCAAAGTCCATGGGCAAAATCCATGGGCAAAATCTGGACAAATCCACTGGCAAAACCCATGGGCAAAATCCATCGGCAAAATCCATCGGCAAAATCTGGGCAGAATCCATTGGCAAAATCCACGTGCTAAACCATGGTGGGCGCGTGGAATCCCAGCTGCGCTCCCGAGGCCTTTGAACAAGTCGCGCGAGCCGCCCGCAAGCGCCGGGACATCCAGGCCTTGGAATCCGCAGAGAGCACTTACAATACTCTGCACAGAGAGCTCGAAAGGACCCTGACCTTCCAGGAGGGCTAAAAAATAGCACGCGACTTAAAAACCTATCCCAGAGC